TCATCCATCCATTCTTCCACCCATCCACTCACCCACCCATTCATCCATCCATTCATCCACCCATCCAGTCACCCACCCATTCATCCATCCATTCATCCACCATCCACTCATCCATCATTCATCCACCCATCCACTCATCCATCCATTCATCCACCCATCCACTCATCCATCCATTCATCCACCATCCACTCACCCACCCACCCACCCATTCATCCACCCATCCACTCACCCACCCATTCATCCATCCATTCATCCACCCACCCATCTATCCATTCATCCACCCACCCATCTATCCATTCATCCACCCGTCCATTGCTGTGTAGCAGTTTGTGGATGGGCGTGTAACGTTTGGTGTTCTGTGCGTGCAGCGCTTCCAGGAGAAGGTAGAGACGCTGGAGCAAGAGGCGGCCAGTGAGCGCCAGCAGCTGGTGGAGACCCACATGTCCCGGGTGGAGGCTCTGCTCAACGACCGCTGCCGTCTGGCTTTGGGGAGCTACCTGACTGGTCTGCAGCAGGACCCACCCAGAGTACGACCAACGTTTTCCTGCTCTGGATGCAAAAGATTCAAACCTGTCTTATGAATCACATCTTCTAAAATAAACAGGTTCCTTTTAAAGAGAGCCTTTTTTCATGAATAGTTCCCATAGATGTTTACTCTTCACTACGTGCAGGTAGAACTAATTGATTTCCATAAAAATCTGAGGAAATTGTAGGATTTGGGTTTAAATCAATCACTGTAAAAAAATCACTTGTTTTTAGTTTTAAGTTTGAAAATACATTTTCTGATCTTGTCTGTTTTTTGTCTCAGCCCCGTCACGTCTTCAGCCTGCTGAAGAAGTACATCCGTGCCGAGCAGAAAAACCGGCAGCACGCCCTCAAGCATTTTGAACATGTTCGCATGGTGGACCCCAAGAAGGCGGCGCAGATTAGACCTCAGGTAACCTCAGACACGCCTTTATCCTGTTTCTGATTTTATTTATTTAACCTTTATTTATTCAGGTTAGTCAGCTCAGCTTGTTTACATGAACAACACGGCCAAGAGGTGGCAACAGGCGGCTAGATTAAAACAAAAGTCACATAAATAAGCATACTCATGAGAAACTAGCAAAAGTAGTGTGGGCTTTTGGGACAAGATGATGATGTCAGCAAATGATGTCAGCATAATGTACGATGGGGAGAAAGGTCATTTTGACCCTTTTGTGTATTGCAGAAAGACTGTAAAATGATTTATTAGGTCAAAGTAGAGTGAACTGCACAACCAGATACTTGTAGAAAGTGACAGTTAGCAATGCTGTACCATCCAGGGTGATAATATTAGAAAGACATGACGCTGAAGTTAAGTTGCGGTTGAAAATGATTTATTTAGTTTTGTCCATATTTAAAGAAAGCATATTTAAGACTTGAAACTGTAAGGAAGTCGAGACAGCCGTCAGAGATCGGCTTGATGTATATAAAATGGTATCATCAGCATACATGTGGATGTTAGAACTACCAGCAACATGAACAATGTTAATTATGTAAACTTTAAATTACATTGGGCCAAGTGCGGACCCCTGAGGAACTCCAGTGTTTCCCCTACTGTTATACAAACAGGGCGCCCCACCCTGTCAACAGAACCAAGTTCCCTGCCTACCAAACTCGACCCCCCATGTCCACTCCAGAGAGAAGCACAAAGCTAGCTGTGTGCAATATAGACGCGCTAGCTAAAAAGCTACAGAGTTAGCGCCCTGCCAAGGCAAGTAAACTAGGGGAAACACTGGACTCCTATAAGCAGAGCCTGGGGATTTGACCGGTAACCCAGTTTGCACCGGCTGTTTACGACCAAAAATATAGCTTCTGCAGCAAGCTTTTTTCTGATTGACCTGCTTTTAAATGATTAAGGTTTTACCAAATCAAAAACTTGAGCCAGCTTAACAAACAGCCACGCAACGACATCTTTAAATAAGTAACTCCTGTCTGAGGCGCAGTTTGTTACAGTGCAGCTACAGTTCAAATTCTTAAAATAAATTATGTTAAATCTTTTTAAATGTTTATATCTCAGGTGCTCACCCATCTGCGTGTTATCGAGGAGCGCATGAACCAGTCTCTGGGACTTCTCTACAAGGTGCCAGGTGTAGCCGATGATATCCAGGACCAAGTTGGTGAGTTTATTGGTTCAGGACACATATTTGTACGTAGCTTTGTGTTTGTAACGGATTGTAACTTTGGGTCCAAGAAACTTGAGGTCAGATCCAAGTTGAGTCCCCAATTTGTGTCACAACCAGGCTCAAAACCAGAAAATGACGACCGATGATGTTGGTTAGGAGTTTAAGGGTTTAACTAGAAAGTTCTTGGAGAAATTTTGACAGGGACTACCATGTGGTGGCCATTTTAAATTTTTGATTTGACAGTGTTAGGTGCTGGGGTTCGCCCTCAGCTACCACCATACCAAATTTCATCTTAAAATGGCAAAATACTGTATCAACGAGTTAGTCATTTTTTTCTTTTAAGCTATGGTGGCCAATATAGTGGATTCAGTATGCGATGGAGAACGTTCTCGGCTATAACTACACAAAGCTTCAGCTCTGTGTGTGAAAAATAGCTGAGTTAAAGCCATTTAAATTGAGCTTTGGTGGCCATCTTGGATTTTTTTTTAAATTAATTATGTATTGGGCATTGCTCTCAGCTAGCACCACACCAAATTTTAGCTTAATATTTCTAAAAACGGCTGATTTAAAGTATTTTTCATTTTTAGCTCAGGCTATTTGATTTGCAACAAGTCTATGAAAAATGACTAATAACAATGGTTTCTTTGTTTGCAAATTACGTCGCCATGGTAACTTGAAATGCTAATAAATGTAAACACACGCATATCAGTTCTGAGCTGGCCGGTTTGATATAAGATTTGTGGGAGGGACACGTTCCACATTAAAGTTGACGGAAAAGTAAGATATACAGTTAAGAAACCCTTGTCAGGTGGATAATAATAAGTGGCTGCCTTTCAAGGCAATACCCAATAAATAAAGTTAAGAAACTC